TGTACTTTTTGAAAAGAAAATCTGAAGCCTTTGATACTTTCAGGAGATGGAGAGCACTCGTGGAGAAAGAGACAAGTCTGGAAGTGAAATGTCTCAGATCCGACAACGGTGGCGAGTACAACAATGAAGCCATCAAGGAATACTGCGCTGATCATGGGATCCGGATGCAGAAGACGGTCCCAGGGACACCTCAACAAAATGGCATTGCGGAGAGAATGAACAGGACACTGAATGAGCTTGCGAGATGCATGCGATTGAAGAGTGGACTGCCCAAGATGTTTTGGGCAGAAGCAGTCAGCACGGCCGCTTTCTTGATCAACCGAGGGCCTTCTGTCCCACTGAACAACAAAATTCCAGAAGAGGTCTGGAGTGGTAAGAAGTTGATCTCTCTTTCTTACGTACCTTTGGTTGTTTGGCTTACGTTTTGAACGACGACCGGACAAAGCTGGATGCTAAGTCCGTCAAATGTACATTCATTGGATATGGGACTGACGAATTTGGGTATAGATTTTGGGATGATCAAAATCGAAAAATTATTCGTAGTCGTAATGTGGTGTTGAATGAAGACATAATGTACAAGGACCGTAAGGAATACCCGGACGATGACAATACCATGCAGGAGTATGTTGGTCTCGATATTTCAAATACCAGAATCATGAGACCAGCAGATTCAGTGGGAGTTCATATAGATGAGATCGAGCGTACAGAAGAAGAGGCAGAACCAGAATCGGATGAACCGATTGCTGAGAGCAGCACGCCTCTGGCACTGGGCCGAGAACCGAGGATGAGAAGGGTCCCGGATAGGTACTCCCCTTCTCTTTATTACCTACTTTTATCTGATTCTGGGGAACCCGACTGTTATGAAAAGGCAGTTAAAGATGCCCACAAGAGCAAGTGGGAGTTCGCGATGGATGACGAGATGAACTCGTTGAAGAACCACACATGGGATTTGTGTGATCTCCCACAAGGAAAGAAGGCGCTTCAAAACAGATGGGTCTATCGGGTCAAGGAGGAATCAGATGGAACAAAACGGTACAAGGCCAGACTTGTAGTAAAGGGATTCCAACAGAGATACGGTATTGACTTTATCGATGTTTTTACACCTGTTGTTAAGTTAACCACTATTCGTCTAGTGTTAAGCATGGTAGAGGAAGAAAACTTGGAGTTGCAACAGTTAGATGTAAAAACGGCCTTTCTGCATGGGGATCTCGAGGAGGAAATTTACATGGTGCAACCAGAGGGATATAGAGGAAATGATCAGCAGGTCTGTCGCCTAAAGAAGAGCTTGTACGGACTGAAACAGGCTCATCGACAGTGGTACCGAAAATTCGATAATTTCATGCTGGAGATAGGATACTCCAGGTGTAATGCTGATCATTGTTGCTATGTGAAGAGGTTCGATAACTCTTTCATTATTTTACTGCTATATGTGGATGACATGCTGATAGCAGGATCAGATGTCAAGGAGATCGAGAGGCTCAGAGATCAGCTATCAAGGAGATTTGATATGAAGGATCTAGGAGAAGCGAGATAGATACTGAGCATGAAAATCACGAGGGACGGAAATGGTAAACTTTGGCTTTCTCAATCTGATTATATTGAGAATGTGTTGTGCAAATTCAAAATGGATACTGCAAAGCCGGTTGGAGTACCATTGGGAAGCCAGTTCAAGTTGTCCAACAAGGATTCGCCCAAGGATGACTCTGAAAAGGAAAGGATGAAAATTACGCCTTATGCTTCGGCTATAGGGAGCCTAATGTACTCTATGGTCTGCACCCGACCAGACATAGCACATGCAGTGGGAGTAGTCAGCCGGTTCATGAGCAATCCTGGAGTGATGCACTGGGAGGCGGTAAAGTGGATCCTTAGGTACCTGAGGGGTTCTAAGGACCGGGCATTGGTATTTGGCAGGAGTACCCTTACCCTGTCTGGGTTTGTCGATGCTGATTTTGCAGGAAGTGATCTTGACAAGAGGAGGAGTACTACTGGGTACGTGTTCACTTACGGCGGGACGACCATATCCTGGATCTCAAAGCTGCAGAAGATAGTCACATTGTCCACAACGGAAGCTGAGTACGTGGCAGTGACGGAGGCAGCCAAGGAACTCGTTTGGCTGCAAAACTTCCTGAATGAACTTGGGAGACCTCAAGAGGATGTAGCTCTATACAGCGATAGCCAGAGTGCAATCCATCTGGCAAAGAACCTCGCGTTTCACTCGCGAACGAAGCACATCGAGGTTAAGTATCATTTTATCCGGCAACTTCTAGAGAAGAAGATGCTGCAGCTAAAAAAGGTTCGGGGAGATAGGAATCCTGCAGAAATGTTGACCAAGGCGGTAACTTTGGAAAAGTTGAAGCTGTGTGTAGCTTCGACCGGTCTTGATGATTAAAACAAATAAACCTGGCAGAACCAGGAGCGAACATGTTGATCAATGAGGTGTGAGGACAGATTGAAATCAGTCCTCAAGTGGGAGATTGTTGAGTCAAAAAAGGGCTAAGCCCTATTTCTTTGACAAATTATGATAGCCTACCATTGAAGAAAAGTGCAGCCCCAATGTCTTGAATAATTGCAGCAGCTGAGTACACAATAATAGAAAGAAGGTGTACTATTTCTTCTATAAATAGCTGAGCAATTTGATGAACGACATAACAACAAAAGAAAACATAACAAGAGAGATAGAGAGAGAAAAAGAGTAGAGAGAGTGTATTCATACGGGCTTGTGTGAGTTGTAACATTCGGTTTATCCTCTTCTTCTAGTTCATTCTTCTGGCTTGGTTCGCCCCCAAACGTAGGATTTAATCCGAACTGGGTTAACAAATCTTCGTGTCTTTTATCGATTTCACATTGGTGTGTTATTATTATTCCATCTTATCCGAACTTATTTCCCAACAGGCCAGACCTTCACGGGGCTGCCTTACATGACTTCGATCCAGGGGCGTGGCGTGGAGGTCGTTCACGAGTCCCCCGGGAGAGCGTACTTGATGTTCACCCTTATGGACCCATCCGAGCCCATGTACTGCATGCTGGGTCCATCGGGAACCCTGGAGGAGAGGACATGGTCCGACGAGAAGGGGAGTTGGGTGGTGACGTGGCAGTCGACGCAGATCGAGTGCGAGTCCTATAACAGGTGTGGCTCCTTCGGGAGGTGCAGCACCGTGATGGGCCAGGCAGCTTGCTCGTGTTTCCCGGGGTTTGAGCCGAGGGACCGGAGGCAGTGGGAGCGCGGGAATTGGTCAGGCGGCTGTGTGAGGAGGACGGGGCTCGTGTGTGGGAATGAGATGCGGAAAGGGGACGGGTTTGTGAAGATGGAGAGGGTGAAGCTACCTGACAATGGTCGGTGGTTTGCAAGATTCGATGAGGAGTGTGGGAGGGACTGCTTGGATTGTTGCTCGTGCGTGACATATGCTTTAGTAAAAGGGATGGGGTGCATTTGGTGGTCGGAAGACTTAATCGATGTGCAAGAATTGAAGAATGGTGGTTCGGATCTCTATGTTCGGCTAGCACTCTCGGAGCTAGGTCAGATAATGTGTTCCTCATAGAGTTAAAGTTCGAGTTCACTTGTTTTGAAGCTGCATATTGAACAGAACCACAGGGCTCATTCTTTGTCACTTGAGAACTTTTGCAGGAAAAAGTAAACACCGCACATTAATTATAATAGTCACATTGGTGGTTCTGGGGGTTGTGATAACTATCCTTGTATGTGCATACTGTCAACGAAAGGTGTTGCTTAAGTTCACAGGTACACAACATATTCATAATCATTCAATCTTTTTTTTATTCATATTTAATCTGGCGTTATTTATTTAGTACGGGCAGGACAACAAAGAAACAAGAAAATATGGATTGCGACCGAGGACACGGACACAGTATATCTCGTTGAAAAATTGCATAACGTAATGTGCGTGGAGTTAAAGTCGAGGAATTTAAACTATTCAAATTTCAAATGCTGTCGAACGCGACAAGCCAGTTTGATCCTGGGAATAAGCTTGGACAGGGGGGCTTTGGTCCAGTCTACAGAGTATTTTGTTTTTATTCATACATCTTCAGATATTTTACCAATTTTCAGTACGTGTGATAGTGATTTTTAGGACTTAAAACTTCTTTTGGCAGGGAAAATTACCTAATGGACAAGAAATCGCTGTAAAAAGACTAGCGAGGTCATCCCACCAAGGGCAGGAGGAGTTCTTGAACGAGGTTCAAGTGATTTCTAAGCTACAGCATCGCAATCTTGTTCGACTCCTCGGTTGTTGTGCGTACTGTGAAGAAAACATGCTTGTTTATGAATATTTACCCAATGGAAGCCTTGATGCTTACATCTTTGGTAAGTCACTCATGAGTCATGATAAGGTTTGATATTTCTTTTTTTTTTTTTTTTGCAGCTGATTTGCTTGAAGTTTGATTATAATTGAGACATTTAATATCAGGTTCACGTAAACGAGAGTTTCTTGACTGGAAAACACGTGCAAACATCATAGAGGGGATCTGTCGAGGTTTACTTTATTTCCATAGGGATTCAAGGCTAAGAATCATCCACAGAGATCTGAAGGCTAGTAACATATTACTCGACATGAATCTTAACCCGAAAATTTCAGACTTTGGCACGGCAAGAATTCTTTGTGGCAAGGAAGATCAAGCTGCTAAGACGAGAAGGGTTGTTGGGACATAGAAGTGTATCTTACTCGAATAATTTTTTTTTTTTAAGTTTTGTGACTAGACACATTTCTGGACACTTGGATGCTTAGTTCTGTGAATTTCATTCGTGCAGTGGCTACATGCCCCCAGAATACGAACTACACGGGATGTTCTCTCATAAATCGGATGTCTACAGCCTTGGTGTCCTGATATTAGAGATTTTGAGTGGCAAAAGTGCCAGCTTCTATAATGAAGAACAACAGATGTTCCTAATAACATATGTAAGTTACTATTCTACATCTTATTTACTCGGGCTCCACTGAGTTTGCACATTATTATATTAATGTAGTCGCACTGTATTTTAAGTCTTGGCTTTGCCCCTGCCATGCCACATTACACCGTTAAAATGACGGATCATTGTTATAAACAACTCGAGCTTTTGCTAATTATTATTAGACCAACGGGCAACTAAAGTTATGTTTGGTAACCAAATAAGCTAGCTTATAGCTTATTTGGTTAGGTTATAAGCTTCCTGTATTCAAATAAACTTCGTTTCGTAGGATGAGCTTTTTTTAGAAAGCTCGAGCTTATCTCATAAGTTTTCTTTGAGTAGTTTTTCAAATATGCACGTTGAAATTTTTAATTCGGCTAATTTTACCACACTTTTATCATATAAACTTAGTATAACTCATAAATAATAAGTTGTAAGCTCGAAAATCACTTATAAGCTCTAAACTAGTTTATCAGCTATCAGCTAGCTTGTCAACTAGTTTTACTAAACATAGCATTTCAAAAATAAATAATAATAATAATGTACCACCAATAAACCGGCCGTGATAAACTTCGGTCGTGTTTTGAATAATTTCTAGGCGTGGAAATTGTGGAGCGAAAAAAAGATACTCGACTTGGTGGACCCATGAATAACGTATGATGAATCCAGAAAGGAAACTAACGTGTTGAGATATGCAAATGTGGGCCTACTGTGTGTGCAAGAAAAGGCAGGCAGCGCATTTCTAATATTCTGTCAATGCTGAGATGTGAAATCTCTGAGCTCCTCGTCCTCAACAGCCGGCCTTTGTTGTCGTGCAGAGGTTATCCGAAACACGGCTCGTTCATGAGAATCCTAGAGAATGTTCCGCCAATGATGTTACGGTTACGGTCTTGATGGCCGGTAAAAGTTTCTGGAAAAAAAAAAAAAAAAAACTCTGGTTTTCCCTTCCCTCTCTTTATTGTTGTTTATGTGATCTGTTTTTAGCAAACATAGGTTTTCACACTTGTTCATGCTATTTTGTGAAATGGTTAAGTTCAACAAAATTATATATTTCGATGCTTAAATATTATACTTGAATTAGTATTGACATTTTATTATATTAGTAGCAATTTTTTTTTTTTTTTTTTGGTAAAAGGAAAGAAGGCCAAACCTAATTACGACGATACAAACATGTTTCTTGGGTACGACACCCCTATCATATCATGATTTTTTTTTTTTTTTTTTTTTTTTGGTTAAGAAAATATGGTTGGAGCTATCAACAGTAAAAGTATAATAAGCATTTTCGTTAGGAAGATTTGGTTGGAGCCTAATAATTTGTGACTTTTGTTCTGACTAAATATTTGCATGTGGGGACCCAATTCGATTTTTTCAACATCTTCCAGGAATATTATCTTTGAAAATTCTACATCCCAACTAAAGAAAAGTATGAGGACACCATTATTTGGAGCTTTTAATAGTAGTTTTACCTGTAAATGATCACCATTGAAACTATGCTTCAGTTCTCTTTCTTCCTCGTAGCCTCTTGTCTCTCAACAACAACAGTTGCCCAGCAAACAGACACCATAGGGGCAAATCAGTCGATCCACGACCCAGACTCCCTGATATCCAACGGTAAAAAATTCAAACTCTACTTCTTCTCCCCGCCAAACTCCGGCGGCCGCCGTTACGTCGGGGTCTCGTTCAACCTCCCGGTCGAGACAGTCATATGGGTCGCCAACCGAGACAATCCCTTACTCGGCCCCAACGGGTCGCTCCGCGTTTCAACCGAGGGCAATCTCGTCATTTCCGACGGGCGTAGCCGCGTGGTTTGGACGTCTGGCCTTCCGCCCGGCCCGCCCCGCTCCCTGACCCTCCTCGACACTGGGAACCTCGTCTTACGAGACAACAGTCACGACACGAACGTCACATATGCTTGGGAGAGTTTCGGCCACCCCTCGGATTCTTGGGTCGAGAAAATGACGCTCGACGAGCGAACCGCACTCACGTCGTGGAGAAGTCCCGACGACCCGGCCCGTGGGGACTTCAGCTTCGCGGTCGAGCCTCTAGACGGCATCGTGCAGGCATTCGTGCGGGAGAAGGGGAGCCCGCGTTTCCGCAGCGGCCCGTGGAACGGTCAGTCGTTCGACGGACACTCAGGTAAAGTGGGTTCGTTCCACAAACGCAGCTTGCAGGTCGTCCAAGAATCTCCCGACCGAGCGTATATGGTGTTTGCGCTTTTGCCCGATGTCCTTATGTACGTCCGGTTGGACTCGTCGGGTGCCTTGGAGGAGAGGGTTTGGTCGGACGAGAAGTTGGGCTGGGACGTGATGTGGCGATCGGGGGCGGACGATTGCGACTCGTACGGGAAGTGTGGGGGTTTTGGGAGTTGCAGCATCGGCCCGGCAAAATGTGGCTGTTTCCCGGGGTTTGATACGAGGGAGTGGGGGAACAGGAGCTGGTCTGGCGAGTCATGTGTGAGGAAGACGGGGCTCGGGTGCTCGGAGGACGGGTTTTTGAAGGTTGGGAGGGTGAAGCTTCCGGACCACGGCCGGTGGTTCGCGAGTGTTGGGGATGAGTGTAGGAAGGATTGCTTAGATAATTGTTCGTGCGTGGCATATGCGTTGGTAGAAGGGATTGGGTGCTTGCGGTGGTCGGAAGAATTAATTGACGTGCGCAAGGTCCGTGGTGGCGGTTTGGACCTATACATTCGGTTGGCACACTCGGAACTGGGTGAGATACTTTGTTGGCTAAATTGCATTTTTAGTCGAGAGCATAGCAATTTTAGTCTTATGATTCTAACATTTCGTTTTTGGTACTGTGATTTAATATTTTTGTGCACTTTCAGTCCTTAAATGACTGTAATTGCAACAAATTCTCAAATTTATAAATTTTTTAGTAGCAATTTAAGTCATAATATTTAATCTTAGTCTGTAATTTAAAATTTTGTTGCAATTTTAGTTCTCAAATAACTTAAAATTGCAGCAAAAAAATAAATTACAAGATTAAAATGCAAAAAGTAGAAACCTTGGGACTAAAATTGCTTTGGCGTAAAATTAACAGGACTAAAAATGCATTTTTTTGCCTACTATGTGTTGTTTAATGTCCTGTGTTTGTGTTATTTTCGCAAAAGTCGACCTTTAGTTTCGAAACGAAACTTGAATATTTCGTAATTCGGCTATAGAAAATTAGAAATAGAAGAAGGTAAGAGGGCTCATTCTCTGTCCATTTTTTCAGGAAACATGAAAGACCACATTGTAGTTATAGCAGTCACAATCTCAGGGGTCATGATAACTATCCTCGTATGTGCATACTTTCTACGAACGAGGTTGCTCAAGTGCACAGGTAAACGAGAATTCGTATGGGATAGGAAGGAAAGGAAGCGAAGAAACGAGCATATGTTGTCCCCAATTGAGGCTGACACAAGATATCTTGGTGAAAATTTGCACAAACATAATGTGCAAGGAGTTAAACTTGAGGAATTGTGCTTCTTTAAATTTCAAATGCTTTCTAGTGCAACTGGCAAGTTTGATCCTACAAATAAGCTGGGACAGGGTGGCTTCGGATCAGTCTACAGAGTACTTCATTCTGATCCTGAACATCTGGAGTTTTTTTTTTTTTTTTTTTAGTTTACTAATTTCCGAGACGTCCCCAACTTGTTTGGGACTAAAAGGCTTTGTTGTTGTTGTTGTACTAATTTTCGAGACGTGTAAAATTGATTATTTAGAATCGTAATCTTTTTGGCAGGGAAAATTATTGAATGGTCAAGAAATCGCTGTAAAAAGACTCTCAATATCGTCCAACCAAGGCCGGGAGGAGTTCATGAACGAAGTTCAAGTGATTTCTAAGCTCCAACATCGAAATCTCGTTCGACTTCTCGGTTGCTGTGTGGACTCTGAAGAAAACATGCTCGTCTACGAATATTTATCCAATGGAAGTCTCGATTCTTACATCTTTGGTAAGTAGTCACTCGTGATGAGGTCAAGTTTGTTCAGTGGTTGTTTTTGCTTGAAGTGTTTGATTTATAATTGAGACACACTAAGGGCGCGGTTGGATATAAATCCAATCGGTTTTGTTTGGTTAAACTTTAAAGTAAGTTAAAGTGAAATATTTTG